AGCATTCCCTGCGCCGGCTGCTTCCTGCAAGTGCCCGTCCCTGCTGAGGGCCAGATCAGCCGGGGCGCCACGACGGGATGATCTGATGTACAGCTCTGAGGCCAGAACTTAACACTGTGAAGCCTTTTGTATTTGCCAGCCTGAGCCTAAAGAATAGGTGTCTGCATGGGAGAGGGTCGTGAGTCTGACTGTTCTCCACAGCTGCAGGTGTCTTTCATTCCTCTGAAGTGTCCTGCTGCAATTGTTGCTTGGATGTGTCCAGAGCTTTTGGAACTTTGTCTGAATCTGTAACTGTTAGTAATGGGTGAAAGGACGCGCACCGATTAGGCCTGGTTTCAGGACTGAAGAGGAGGTCGGTTGGAAGAAAAGACAAGGTTTTGTAGATGAGCGTTGCAGGGCTTGGTTGAGTGACACCCATGAGCCCCACCCGAGGACATGAGCAGGAGATAAGGCCTAATGGTTTGGCTCGGGTGGCAGGAGATGCTGTCTTGGCCAGTTCTTCCTTGACGATAAGAAAACTTGGAAGGTGAATGCGGCCTCCCTGCCTGCTCTCCGGCTCACAGAGTCTCTCTGAACCTTGCTCCCTCACAGCAGAATTGCCCCGTGCCGGGCTACCTGGCTGCACTAGTGCAGTGGGAAACGGGTGCAGACGCTTCTGGGAATGTGTTTTTACCCAAGGCTTCAGCGGACAGGTTTTGCCGCGCAGTGGCAGCGGGCGAAGTGTGCCGACACAGACAGTTGCGGTCATTCGCATAACGTCGATTTGCTGCGATTCAGCCGTGTTCAATCTCTCTCCTAAAACCTCCAACCAAATTGATCCGTGAGTCATTTTTCACCCAGGTTAAGTGCGTTCCTGGTGGAATTTGCACCAGTTTAGCTAAACTGTTTTCAAATGGTTGTTAGTTGAATTTGACTTCAGCTTGTATGGCTGCTCAGCTGGCAGCTGTGGTGAAGTGGAAGCCTGCTCCACTCTGCTGCTGCTCACTGAAGGTGGCAGACCATTTGCCTACGGTGCCTTTTATGCTTTCTTGCTGTGTGACGTTAAAACCATGGCATTAGTAAACGTGACTGGCAGCCCTAGGAATTGAATTTCCGCATTCATGTAGCAGCTCCAGGGTGATGGCCATCTTCTGTGTCTTGCCTCTCGTGGGCCAGACAGAGAAAGACAGTGACTCACCATTGCTTTGACAAAAGCCAGAAGAAGCGGTAACGTGATGTCGGTCTGTCTGAAATGACCTATCTTGCGGTCACCTTTATTCCCATAAGGTATTTCTCTGCATGATGCTTTTTGTTCTTGAAGCAGCAGACTGCCGTTGTGAGGAGGAGGAATTAACGAGATCACTAAGCTGTGCGCTGAATTCCTCACTGATGTGTTAGCTACAGATAATACTTCTCGTCCTGCCACTCCAGTACGAACACTAAACATTTTTAATAGGAAAACTGCTGGAGTAAGAGATGCCAAAGAGGAGAGCTCTCCATTTTCTCAGCTGAGCAGCTTTACAATGTGTGGTGCTACAAGCCGCTTTCTCCCTTCACTTTCCATGACCTCTGCTGATGTGATGCTAGGGTGCCAGGGAATGCCTCTCCATCTTTGACAATACCCCTTAATTTGATTCCTCACTGTTTTGTAGTTCTTTGTGGCACCTGCTTCAAGCTTGGGTAGAAAAGGGCTAGAGGTAGAAGCCTGGTAAAAGGCTCTGGAGGGTGAAAAGTAACGCTTTTGGAAAGGCTAGAACCGTATTTATTTTATTTGTTGATGTGTCACTGATAGCTTCGTTCAAGTGATGTTCGATCCTTTTGTCCACAGATGCTACTCTAGCTTAATTCCAGCTGTGGTCCCTGCAAGTATAATCAAGCCTGAAGCTGAAACCCCCCCCGGGCTGTGGCATCCAAGGCAGTAGTGTTTTTGGCAGCAGTCACCCCTGAAGGGTCAGGCTGGCAGCAGGTTCTGAAGATAAAGCTGAGAAAGTTTATCTGCTTTTCTCAGTGGACCACTCCTGCTTGCTGTTGTTTGGTGCCCAGTTTCTGTGAAGTCACGCCTGCCTCTGTTCTTACACTGATAAGTTGTTCAGAGACCTCCTTTTTTACCTGACAGCGGCTGCAGTTTTGAAAACAGAACGTGCTAATATTGCCGATAAGTGAATTGGGCGCTAACCGGTTCTTTAAGCACTTCAGCCCTGCAGTGATGCTGAGTGCTGTGTTGCTCAGAGTAGCTCAAAACAGTGGGATTTGCTTCCAGTCTGAGCTACATGTTTCAGAATATTGCGTGCTCGCAGGTAGCGCTTTGGGAGCACTGAGCCCTGTTAATGAGTAACTCGCAGGCTGTGGTGATAAGATTGGAAACACATGGCACAGAAGGAATACGTTGCACACTCGTTTTACCTTGATCTAGACTTTTGGGGTGTAGAGGTTGTAGCTGCTGTGTGTTTGCAGTTGGTGAAGAGCTCATGTTAGACAGTATCAATAACCACCTCAGAAATTCCTTCCTGTGTAGTTTAATCAATCTACTGATTTCCTGACTCATTCTATACATTTGAAATGTCACACTTTGGCAATGGGGCTAATATAAAGTGGTAAATAAACAGCCTCACCCATGTCATCTGGGAACAATACAATTTTAAAATGAAGCTTTATTGTTACAGGCAGTGGTCTGAAAATTAGCAAGAGTTCTCCCTTCTGAATGAGCGGGGTTGGGTAGGCTCCATAGTCTGTAAGAATAAATCACACAAACATGATGATAGGAAAATCCATTTCTATTGTTGGGGTTTTTTTAGTGCTGGCATCATATAGGCTAATGTCTTGCAATGGTAATTCTACTTTAGGAAGGCATATCTTGCTTTTTTATTGCTTTTAATTGTAACGGTTCTTAGTGTTTCTTACAAGCTGTATTCTAGCCGAGATTCCCTTGTCAGCAGAGTGAAAGCTCACAGGACGAGGAGGCCACGTTGTTTCTTTAGATTGGCAGCTCTTCATGGAAGGAGATGTCACTCTGTTTCTGGTAGTTCTGACTCTAACAACAAAATGAATGTGTACACAGACATGAAAATCTCCCTCTTGCTGCTGTGATCCAGGACAGATGTGGTACTGTGAGAGTGCTGCAAGAAGTTTCCAGGTTGGCCATGTTTTTTCCCCACTGTGTGCTTTCCCAGGATAAACTCCTATTGCTTTGCTCTGGTTAGTCAGACTTCTGTTTTTAAGGCCATTTAAAAATGTTAATGAGGTTACTGGCTCCTGAGGCTGCTGAAGTTGGGTCATTATTTGCTGCTGCTCCCAGCCGGGAGCTCTGTTGCCTCCTGCAGAGAGCTGGGGCTGACTAAACCTGTTTTCTGAATCCTGCATAAATGTATGGAGTGGCGACCAAGCAGAGGACATCTGCTTCCTTCAGAAACCTGTTAAATGTTATTTCAGAGCTAGTGACCTGGAAACCCTGAAAAAGAAACTTTGCTTTTGTTCTCCACAGAACCTCTGTCCTCTACTGAAAAAAAAACCAAACCAGCAAACCTCCTCTTCCTCCCTCCCCCTAACCAATCCATACTCCCCAAACCTTGAAGCTGACACCCAGAAGTTTAGAGATGGGAAATGGAGAAACCTAAAATGTTGTCCTTGGAGAAAATAATATTGCCTCCAAAATAAAGTGTTTAAAGACATGAAGATTTCTGTGAAAAACACTCAGAAACCAGAATGAAAGGACACGTGTCCCATACACAGTACTGCTGATCTCCTGCCCCGAACAGCAGTCCTGCTCTTGGGGGGTTGTGTGCAAACGAAGCACACTTACCGGGGCAGGGGAAGGCGTCTCCTCTCGCAAGGATGGTGACCAGAGCAGTTGCCTCAAACAGTGGTTCCACCTGGTCTTGACTGTAGCTTTGTTTTTTAACTGGTTCACTGGAGGCAAGGAAGTAAGTGGAAAGTGGAATGGAATTAGATCTGGGTAATATGGTGAAGGAAAAGATAGTAGGTGAGGGGGATGCGAGGGAGCCAGGGGGTTGCCGAAGCTGAGATAGGAGTCGGAGGGCGAGGAAGGGGGGCGTGTGGAGCGAGCGGCCGGTGCCTGGGCATTCTGCCTGAGCGCCCCTGCGGCGTGGGGCTGAGGGCTGATCCAGCGAAGGCGCAGGGATCCTTCGTGCACTGAAGGCATCCCGTTGCGATGACCTCTGTTGGCACCTGGGCACAACAGGTACAAAATGACCTGGTTTTCTTGAAACGCCTTGTGGGCAGCTGGTGTCTGTAAGGTGCGGGGCCTTTTCCGCTTTGAAGCCGTTTGCTGTAGAGCAGAATATCTCAGTGCTGGCACACACAATTGCAGCCCAATTATGTTTGAAAGTTTAGGTAAATAAAATTTCCTGGAATATGCAGAATTGCTTAAGCAACGCGTTTCCTTTTGTACGGCAGAATGAAGAAAGCCTTGTCTTGCCTAAGCTTTGGCATTTTAATTACACTGGTGTATTTAAAACACCCGACTTCTCATTTCAGTGAGTGAGGTGAGCTGCGCTGTTAGGAAGCCCGTAGCACGTCCGTAACTGGCCTGTGTTAGGGCATAGCAGTGTTCATTTCACGCCTCGTAGTGACACTGTTGTACCAATACATCCTCTGCATCAGAACTTGCCCAGTGAAATGTCAGTGCTCTGTACAGTCTGGAAACCACGCTGCTGCTAACCTCAGTGAAAGCAGAAGAGCCATACTTCCTGCAGAAACAAACAATAGTTTAATAAATCACTTTTAAATTGTAATAACAGTAAAGTGAGTTACCAGAAAAATAATTGGCTGAAGAAAGATGTGTTGATGTGACAGTGGTTTAGTACAGTAGACAGAGAATTATCAACAAGTTTATTTAACAGTTTCAGTCTGTCTGGTTCTGTACTTTGTGCTTACTAATGACACGCTGTTGGGAGTTCATGGTTTTTTCCTGCAATTTCTTTTCCTGTGCTTTGGCTGGCAGCGCCTCACAAGTACTACATTGGCTTCCGGTACGTCCACCCTCTGACAGAAGAAGCGATTGAGGAGATGGAGAAAGATGGCATTGAACGGGCCATCGCCTTCACGCAGTACCCGCAGTACAGTTGTTCCACCACAGGTGAGCGTCCGGGCAGGAGCAGAGCAGGGGCAGAGGCGGATGGAGGTGCGTGTCTGCCCGCCCGAGGGGGCGTGCGGGGTGTCAGTGCGAGCTGTCCTGTCTCCCTCAAAGTGCCCCTTCCCCTGGCTTCCTTGCCAGCTCGAGGGCCGCTGCGGTTACTGTAATTCCCAGTTTTAGGTAGAAACTTCTTAACTCAGGATGGCTTTATGTTACCGTTGTTATTGTGAGAAAACATAAAGTGAAGGGTCAGGAACATGACAGTAAGCTTTCGTCATGGAAACTAGAACAAGAATCGTTCTTCAGATAAAGAATGGTTTAGCAAATTGTTCTTGGCTTGTACGTTGTACGAACTTTGATACTATTAGTATGTTGTACGAACTTTGATGTCATTAGTGTGTTGTATGAACTTTGATACTATTAGTATGTTGTACAAACTTTGATGTCATTGATCCCATTCTATCAGATCTGATTAATGGTTGCATTTTAAATATGTAGCATTTTAAAATGTTACATACCTTGCTACAAAACTGTTTTAATCTGACAGGTTGCTAATGCCTTGGCTGAATTTATGTTCTTAATTCTCTGTATTTCAGGAAGCAGTTTAAATGCCATTTATCGCTACTATAACGAAAAAGGGGAGAAGCCAAAGATGAAGTGGAGTATAATTGACCGATGGCCCACACATCCCCTTCTTATTCAGGTATGGATTCGTACGAGAGCCTTTGAAGCTAGCAGTTGGAATGAGGGGTGTGAGCTGAGCAGGTCTGTCTGATCCGTTACCGAATTCGCATTCCCTGGGGTTTTCTTAAATTGGTTGATATAGGAGAAACCTGGTATCTTCACATTGCCAGCTGACTCTAAAACAACAAAGAACTAAGTAAATACAGATGTTTCTTGAGTTTCCTTTTTAGAACATTTGCGACCAGTAAAAACATAGTATCATGTTAAGCAACAGAAACGTTCTGAGGAAACACTTCACTTAGATCAAGTCTTAGCTTCTAACAAAGCTTACAAGATTTTTAGCTATAGAATGCGCTTTAAAGGTGAACCTATTTGCTGGTTTAGGCTGTGTTTTTATATTTCCTTTTTTAAAAAAAGAGAAAAAATACTTGAGAAGAATAACAAGAATGCTTCTGTTTGAGGGTATGTTTTAACTATGGTAAGAAAATGTGTCTTGCCTACTATGTACGGAGTTACAGGAGAAGGCTGATTCTTTCATGCCAGGCATTTGACATGTGTGAAAGAGACCATCAGGCCCATCTTGTTTTAACAACACAGTCATAGTATCTTAACAGTGTTGGCTGGAAGGAACCTCTGGAGGTCTTGAGTCCAGATTCTTGCTCAGAGGATGTCCCTGGTCAACCCACATACAGATTGTGTTGGTTTGTGAGCTTCTCATCTGGCAGCAAAGAGGTGGTTCTGAGCACAGCACTGGCTGTGGCAGGAGCAGTTGAGGGAAACCTTCTTGCCTCTTCCTTTTCAGAGAAAATGGCATTTCTGTCTTTGTTGGGGAGCTTCTCCTCTAGTTTGAGCTTTGCAATTTTTGCAACAGATGATAAAAATGACTAAAGGAAGGCAAGGTGGAAGTGCCTGCCCTGTGTGACGTTCCCCTGACGAGCTGCCTGAGTGTGATGCTGTCTTGGGACGTGCTGTTGTTATTGTGCACTCTCCATGCCTTCAGTATGTGTTCTCCTTGTCTCCAGTGAAACACCTCAGCAGAATTTAGGAATCTTTCATATCTTCATGGAACCTGCAAAATAGTTTCCATTAGACAGAGCACACAGAACCTTTTTTTTTTTTTTTTTTTTTAACAAGCTCACCAATGTGCATTTCCTTAAGTCTGGGGAGGCTGTAGTTGAAAGGGCTGGCTCGGCCCCTGATTATAAAGTTGAATTGGAACTTCATTTTTTTTTAACAATTCTGATCTGCTTTTCACTGTAAAATGAGAGAAGACCATGCAGACCGAGTTGTTTCGTGCTCCTGCAGCACCACATGCCTGCAGTGACGGCAGCTGCTTTGCTCCCTGCAGGCTCCCTCAGCCTAGCTGTGTGCTTGCAGTGTCACGGCGCTCTGCACTGGCGGGTCAGAGGGGTTTCCCTGCTTTTTTCTGTGGTACTGAGAACATTTCGGGTGTTGAGGGACAGAGGTGTCCATCTCTCCCACGCGCTCTCCCGTCAGCTGAGCTCAGGGTGGAGTCTCGGAACACGGCTGCGTGCAGTTACCTCAGGCTGGCCACAGCAGCCCCTTAGGGGACACTTTCGCAGAGCAGGCTCTTCTCCGGTGCCGTGCCTGTGTGCTCTGACTTGGCCTAAGTGCAGTGGGGCTGCTGAGAGAGGGTGCTTGGGCTCTGCCCATGCACCGTGTCTCTCCCCCTGCACTAGCAGCTGGACACGTGTGCCCCCCGTCGCC